TTGTTTTATTTATTTATCTTTTTTTTTTCTTTCTTTCTGTTTGTTTGATTGTCCTGTTTTCTGGGTTTCTCTCCAGGATGACACTGGTCATTACACCCTTGAACCAAATCCACTAAAAAGCGATTAAGAGATTCTATTTACCCTATTGGCTTAGTGAGGACATGATTGATTCTCCCCCTCCCTACTCTTACCCCATCTACCTACTCTCCTACAACCGCCACTACAATGAGACTCAAGTGATTGTTGTGGTTACATTTACGGGTTGTGTGGTTGATGAGTTGTGGTTGGTGAGTTGTGGTTGGTGGTTGTGGTGGTGGTAGGGGTTGTTGTGGTAGTGATGGGAGTGTGTTGTGGCTTTGTGGTTGTGGTGGTAGGGGATTGTGGTTGTGGTTTGTGGTAGTGACGGTAGAGGGGTTGTGGTAGTTGGTTATTGTAGTAGTTGTGGTAAGTAGTTGTGGTTATGATGGTTTGGTATTATGGTAGATTAACGATGATTGTGGTAGTGTTAATAGTGATGGTCGATGCTGGTAGTAGGTAGTGATGGCAATAGTTGTGGTAATGTTGGTAGATGTTGGTAGTAATATTAGTAGATTCTCTCGTAACCAACATACATACATACATACATACATATATATAAAACTATAACCAAAATAACAACCTCATAATGTTTGTTTATTTGGACGAGAATTAATATTATGGAATTTATTTCAGTATAAAAATAAATAGTAACATTGACTTGTACAAAATTTTCTTATGAAGGGAATTGGACAGGAGAGGAAATACGGTTTTTGTAATAATTGTTTTTGTTTTACTTGGGTTTAGGGCTCTCTCTCTCTCTCTCTCTCTCTCTCACACATATTTTTTTTTTATGATGCTAGATGGATTTCTCTGCCTTATCTCTTCCTTCCCTCTAACTCTTTATAGTCTAGATGGAGGGAAAATATAAATTTGATATCATTCTAAACAACAGGTCCCAAAGTTGGCCTAGAAGTATCCGTCTATTGTTTCATGTAAGTTTTGTTCGCGATACTTTACAGGTGTTTGTATTTAGGACGGTGGAGGTGTGGTGGGGAGGTGTGGAGGCAGGGGGAGGTGTGGGAAGTGGTGGGGAGGTGGAGGGTGAAGGTAGAGAGACTCTCTCTCTCTCTCTCTCTCTCTCTCTCTCTCTCTCTCTCTCTCACACAACCTATTGTTGATATTGTTAAATGGTTTTAGAGTTTAGGAATTATATTTTAAAAACTTTACATGCAACACCCCGGCCCAACCTAACCTAACCTAATCCAAGCAGTAAATTTAATTTCACTATTAATTTTCACTGCTCGTTATCTTGTTCCTTATGGTTAGATTAGGTTAGGTTAGGTTAGGTTAGGCAACGCAATTTTTTTTACCACTACAAAATTTCTGGTTAAGTGAGAAGAATATCTCGTCTGGCCAAACAAGTCTGGACAACAACTTTGCCCCCTTATCAACACACACACACACGCACACGCACGCACACACACACACACACACACACACACAACCTCAACCTGCATTTATTTACTCACAAAACTGGCTGGCCCTCTCCCCCTTTCCCCCTCTCCCCTCCCCCTTCTCCCCCCTCCTCCTCCAACTTCCACTTTCCCTCTCCTGGCCAGCAGCATAAGTTGACGGCTCACGGTGATGAACAGAGGCTCTCACTCCACCACTTTTAACTCACACTGTCATAATATGTATAATTGTGTCGTAAATGGGCGCCTCTTACACTGGCTACCTTGTCGTAAACACTTTGATGAATTAGAGGCCAAATTTGCATAATGGCAAACATCAGTAGTGAAGATTAAGATCAGGAGTGCGTTTACCTCCACAAGGTATTTTAGAGTGTGTCTGTCTGTCTGTCTGTCTATGAGTGTTTGCGTGCAATTATAATATTACTAATAAAAATAATAATAATAATACAAATAATAATAAGAGAAATAATAATGATAAAATAATGATAAAATAATAATAATAATAATAATAATAATAAGAAGAAGAAGAAGAAGAATATTAAACCTTTTATTGAAAAATATAGGAGAGTATACGTATATTTGTGTCTGTATATGTATGTGTGTATATGTATGTGTGTGTATGTATGTGTATGTGAAGAGCTAAGTTTCAGATACAGATACACCTATGACGTAGTTTGTTCATAAGGTGTACCGTCTGGGTATATTGTGTACTAATAAGTATACTGTATTTACTATGTAGGTGTAGGTGTAGTAACTGTGTGTGTTATGTCATGAAGGTGAATTAAGTGTACATGTGTGTGTGTATGTGTGTGTGTGTGTGTGTGTGTGTGTGTGGAGTAATACATTTAATACAGTGACACAGGTATAGTGGTATGATTGTTGTGTATGTGTTGTATAATATAGAAGTGTGTATACCTTGTGACTATACCTGTATACTATAATATATGTTATATTTTAAGTATATAGATGGTGTATATTTGAAGTATGACTAATATAGGTTAGGCTAGGTAGGTTAGGTTAGTTTAGGTAAGGTTAGGTTAGGTTAGGTTAGGTTAGGCTAGGTAGGTAGATTAGATTAGTTTAGGTAAGGTAAGGTTAGATTAGGTTAGGTTAGGATAGGATAGGTTAGGTTAGGTTACTGGCATTCTGTACTCAAATATCCGTAAATAAAACTAACACATTGAAATTAATCCAACACACACGTTCATCTCAGGTTAAATAACAAGACCAACATTATTCTAACATATTTAACATTTTTACCGAATATTCATACTAAAGCCTAAAGAAATAATGAGGAAGAAAAAATAAATCAGTATTGACGTCACGTACAGTGTATATACCTGTATGTGTGTGTGTTGTTCTATTATTAAGCCTCCAAACACAACTTCAATTTTTGCCAACTTTAGAATAACTTATTTTGTAACTTAATGGGAGTTATTTGTCCTGTTCATACAAGACACATTTTACGATATAACATAACCAAACTATACCCAATTACGTTACGTTAATAGACCTTAGTATATGCTCATTCCTATATAAAGATCACTATTTTATTAAGTGAAATAGAAATAAATTATATATATATATATATATATATATATATATATATATATATATATATATATATATATATATATATATATATATATATATATATATATATATATATATATATATATATATATGTGTGTGTGTGTGTGTGTGTGGTGTGTGTGTGTGTGTGTTATCGGTGTTCTCGTGTTGTTCTTGCTGCTGATAAAGTACAGCTGAACAACACAGCAATTGGGAAGATATTTGTTGACGCCCACACCCCAGTACTGAAGGAACTTGCTGAACGACATACAAATACCTTATCAGTATAAATATATTCAAGATTTTATTTACAAGACAAATATGTCTTTCTGTATATAGTAACCATTATGTATATTAGTGGTGGGCGTGAGTAGGTGTAGTACACGCACATACACACGCGCACACACACACACACACGCACGCACGCACACACACACACACACACACACACACACACCTCAACACTCTTATCCCTTAATACTTCAGGTAACAGCGGCGGGAAAGATTAATTAAGCAAAACCATGATACAGGTACACTGGTTATTGAGTAGTCTTTGTAAACTATGACAGTTATATTTAACAAGAAAGCCCGAATTACAGAAAAAATATATTATTAATGGAATAACTCGAGAATCTTGTTGACACTGTATACAGAATCTGGGACGGGCACACATACACACACTTGGCGCTCGACCAATGTGTGGCCGCGGCGTCGCCTCGAACAGTGAACCATTAGGGGGTATGTGTATCTCTAGCGTCTTGTGTTTATATCATGACAGCACCACGATGCACTAGAGGCGGCCTGACCAAGGAGGTTGTCTCAGTCACCGTCAGATCTGGGCTGCCTGGTGCCTCTTACCTCCCCTACGGTGACTTCTTCACCGTCAGTATAAAGAGGGAAGGAAAATCTTATTTAACGTGATGTGTGTGTATGTGTGTGTGTGTGTGTGTGTGTGTGTGTGTGTGTCACAGTGTTCTACTTGACGGTTGTTCTGGTAGGCTCGTCAGTTTTGTATTCCTAGTTACAGTAAATGTGTACACTTCAGTAATGTGTATTTACATTCACATCTGTTTACTTCCATCAGTACCTGTTAACCATAAGTCATCTCCGCCCCGCCAACACGCGCCCCTCGTCTACAAATGGAACAACAATGACATACGCCCTTCTCTTTGTTTTTATTATTAACTAATTAACCTCACATTAAGGTAGGAGAGTCCCTCACCAGGTGTATATATCGCCCATTGCCCTGAACTAAAACTCTCAAGCATCCCCGTGCCTTGACCCTAATTCAAGCTCCCCTCTTCCCCTGGGGCCGCCGGGCTCCAGACACGAGCCAGGAAATCGTGTTTTTCCTGAGCGGCACCAGGGCGGTCTTCACCGCGGGTGAGCGGCGGCACCACCCCAGCAGCAGCACGCGGGGACGACCCTACCACCAGCCTCCCTCTCTGGTGGGTTACTGATCGCACACCAGGGGCGCTACGCTACTGCCTCGCCGCCACACCAGGGGGAGGGGCGCTTACTGCTACGATACGGGCGCTAACATCTCGGCTGCATCTGTGGCTGGTATGGTTCTCCCGCACCGGCAGGTGGCCTCCGGGACACGGGAAGCAGGCCGCCGCTACTATAGGGACAACATGTAATGTTGCTACAGCAGGGTTGCTACACCATGCCGCTACAGCAGGAGTGTCACACCATGACCCTACAGTTAAGGTACCACACTACCTTGCCGCTACAAGAGGGGTACAGTACCACACTACTACATACATTAATACAAATATCATTTTGGCTAGCAATATATTTCTTAAACTGTGCAACATCTGCATAACGAGTTTGATGGTAGCAAGACTAAGTTATAATGGGCTGGACTCAATAAGGACAGGGGAGGGAGTGAGTCCAGCTATAAGAGGCGGCGGTAAACACAAGGTGTGGGCGACTTACCTGGCGGTGGTGCAGTCCTTGTAGAGGATGTCAAAGTGCTTGACGGCCAGTAGCTTACACCTGTTGACGCCCGGCTGGATGGCCCCCAGGCCCCTCAACACCCGCACCTGCTCCACGTTACACACCAGCGGCTCAATCCCCAGCCGCTTGAGCTTGGTGTAGACGGTGTGGAGGCCGCCCACCAGGTTCTTCAGGAACAGCTCGAAGGCTTGTGGCAGGCACAGCATCGACTCATTGTTGATGATGAAGGCTGCCACCTTCTGCCCGCGGTACTCCACCAGCTTACAGTCGTTGGCTGTTGGATCCGACGTGTGAATGGGCGGCGGCGAGTTGTAGGCGTGAGAGAAATATAGGGCGGGGAGGAAGGGCGGCGGGCGGGACGTGGGTGGTGGGGAGGGAAAGATGGGCGGTGAAAGCCCTCCGGGCGGCGAGGGTCCGGGCACGGAGAGGGGAGGGGCGGCCATGAGGGGCGGTGGTGGGCTGCTCGGAGACACACAGTTTACCATGCTGGTGATGACGGGTGACAGTGGAGGGGGTGACCGCCCACTAATGGACCCCCCAGAGCGGACACTTCTGCAATCGTCGGGAATAGAGCTGTCCTCCATGCTTGTGTCTCACCACTTAACAGACACAGTCTCCCAACACCACTGATTATCTCACCGAGTGTCTCTGGGTGAACCGACGCAGCGCAACAATAACTAAGACTATCTGGCGGTGCTCGAGCCGTGGGCGCGCGGGCGGCGTGGGCGGCTGCGGGCGGCAGGTCGCGGCAGGAGCGGGTGGCGGGTGGACGTGCAGGCCGTGCGAGCGTCGGCGGCGCAGTGGTGCGGCGCGGCCAGCCAGTCGTCACCGAGTGTCGCTCACCAATCAGCCGGTGCGCACACCCGCACAGAGACACACACACACGCAATACAAACACAACTTTTAACAAAATGTGTAAACGTAATATGCGGGTGCGGGCCATGTGTGCGTCCGTGTGTGTCCAGGGCGGGGACGGCACCCCATTGGTCGCCACTGCCCGCACCGCCTCGCTCATTGGTCGACAGCGAGGTGGGCGGAGTCGAGCAGCAGCCCGACGTTTCGTTTCCTTCCAGAACTTGTCTAAATGTTTTGCCTTCTGTGCGCGGTCTGCAATCCTCCACACGCCTCCCGCCGGCGCTGGTGGAGGCGCTGACGGTGTGATACGCGGGTCCCCATGCAACCACAACCACCAGCACACAACCACGCCATTGTTAACACACACATCACATTATTACCCCCATTCATGTATTGATAAATCTGGTATTGTATTCCAACAACATCTGTACTTTTCTTCAGGTTTGTTTATAATCCTGAAAATTAATTCTCACAAGACACTGCTCAGACGCGTCTCGTATTTCTCCGTAAATTACACTTGTGTACACTTAAGGCACAATTACACACCAGTACACTGCTGTACACAAGAGTATATTTGTTACTTTAATACATCAAGAGAATGAGTGTGTTGTTGTTCACCTGTTATGAACACCTCACACAGGTGTGAACCCAGTCATGTACGGTACACCCGTGACTGATTGACTTACTGTGTACCGTGTACAAATGTACATATGAATAATCACAGAGGTAAATGATAAAATTTATTAATGTACATGTACACAACAGGTGTACATACACTAGCGGGTATACATCTGATGACCGTTATAGACACTTAGATGTATACATGACTTTTACAGGTGTATATGGCAACTTTTACAGGTATACTTGACAACTTTTACAGGTATACATGACAACTTTTACAGGTATACATGACAACCTTTACAGGTATACATGACAACCTTTACAGGTATACTTGACAACTTTTACAGGTATACATGACAACTTTTACAGGTATACATGACAACTTTTACAGGTATACATGACAACCTTTACAGGTATACATGACAACCTTTACAGGTATACATGACAACCTTTACAGGTATACATGACAACTTTTGCAGGTATACATGACAACTTTTACAGGTATACATGACAACTTTTGCAGGTATACATGACAACTTTTACAGGTATACATGACAAATTTTACAGGTATACATGACAACCTTTACAGGTATACTTGACAACTTTTACAGGTATACATGACAACTTTTACAGGTATACATGACAACCTTTACAGGTATACTTGACAACTTTTACAGGTATACATGCCAGCTTTTACAGGTATAAATGCCAGCTTTTACAGGTATACTTGACAACTTTTGCAGGTATTCATGACAACTTTTACAGGTATACATGGCAACTTTTACAGGTATACATATTACAATACATCACTACCACAATATATTTCTGTATTTTTAAACCTTAACAAAGTTCATCACTATACTGTGGTGTGGTGTGGTGTGGTGTGTAGTTATGATGTGGTGGTTGTTGTTGTTATTATATTAGCTTTAGTTCATATAGTCTTAGTTTGGTTTCTCACTATCTGTCTGTGTCTGTATCTGTGTCTGTGTTTGTTTCTGTGTCTGTTTCTGTGTCTGTATGTGTCTGTTTCTGTGTCTGTATCTTTATCTGTGTCTGTTTCTGTGTCTGTGTCTATGTCTGTTTCTGTATCTGTGTCTGTTTCTGTATCTGTGTCTGTTTCTGTATCTGTGTCTGTTTCTCTATCTGTCTGTGTCTGTTTCTGTGTCTGTTTCTGTGTCTGTGTCTGTGTCTATGTCTGTTTCTGTATCTGTGTCTGTTTCTCTGTTTCTGTGTCTGTTTCTGTGTCTGTTTCTGTGTGTGTGTGTCTGTGTGTCTGTGTCTGTGTCTGTTTCGTATATCTGTGTCTTTTCTATCTGCTCTGTCTGTCTGTGTCTGTTTCTGTGTCTGTGTGTCTGTGTGTTCTGTGTTTTCTGTGTCTGTTTCTGTGTCTGTATCTGTTTCTGTGTCTGTTTCTGTGTCTGTTTCTGTGTCTGTTTCTGTATCTTTATCTGTGTCTGTATCTTTATCTGTTTCTGTGTCTGTTTCTGTGTCTGTTTCTGTATCTGTGTCTGTTTCTGTGTCTGTTTCTGTATCTGTGTCTGTTTCTGTTTCTGTCTGTTTCTGTGTCTGTATCTTTATCTGTGTCTGTATCTTTATCTGTTTCTGTGTCTGTTTCTGTGTCTGTTTCTGTATCTGTGTCTGTTTCTGTGTCTGTTTCTGTATCTGTGTCTATCTTCCTGTTTCTGTGTCTGTTTCTGTGTCTGTTTCTGTGTCTGTTTCTGTATCTTTATCTGTGTCTGTATCTTTATCTGTTTCTGTGTCTGTTTCTGTGTCTGTTTCTGTATCTGTGTCTGTTTCTGTGTCTGTTTCTGTATCTGTGTCTGTTTCTGTGTCTGTTTCTGTGTCTGTATCTTTATCTGTGTCTGTATCTTTATCTGTTTCTGTGTCTGTTTCTGTGTCTGTTTCTGTATCTGTGTCTGTTTCTGTGTCTGTTTCTGTATCTGTGTCTATTTCTGTGTCTGTGTCTGTGTCTGTTTCTGTGTTTGTATCTGTGTCTGTTTCTGTGTCTGTATCTGTGTCTGTGTCTGTGTCTGTTTCTGTGTCTGTATCTGTGTCTGTTTCTGTGTCTGTTTCTGTGTCTGTTTCTGTGTCTGTCAGCACCACGGTTCACAAGATGAATATGACAGCAAGTCTTACACCTCAGCCGAGTGATCGATCTCACCTGTGTGATGACCTACCTGCGATTAATTAGTACACATTCTTGTTACACGATCAGTACTGCTAAATGCAATAAACCGATGCAACAATACCGTCATTAAATCCTTGCAACACAACAAAAATTCATAACAACAACACTAACCAGATCAACAACACATCTCTTATGCAACAGAGTAAAACAGTGACAGATTTGCAACACATCCTTGGCAAAAAATGCACCAAGGTTTTGCAAGAATAACATTATAGAATCTAATGCATTATTATATGTTGATACATCTCAACTGCAAGACATACAATTAGTTGGTATGTGTAACACTGTGTTTCATGAACAAGTCATAGTTGCAATACATTACACTAAAGAAATGTAAAAACAACACATGAATTTACAACGCACTATTTTAAGAACACACCATCATAACAACTGCAGAACACACAAGAACAACACCCAAATTTACAAAACACTGACTCAAGAACACATTCCCATTACATCACAAACCTACAAAATACAAGAATAATACATAATGATACTACATACATAATCTCCTGTAGAATTGAGCTTCCTACGCACTGACAATTCTACACAACAACAACAAAAACCTGTCATTTAATACGCCATTGTCACAGTATATAAACACACCCAATCTTAACACAGCACATCAATACCTTTCAAACACAGGAACACAATACAACATCACATAACACAACCTTACATCACCACAGCAACACACAATACAACATCACATAACACAACCTTGCATCATTACAACAACAACACAGTCTTACATCACCACAGCAACACACAACACAACAGCATACAACACAGCCTTATATCACCATAATAACACAGCCTTATATCACCATAACAACACAGCCTTATATCACCATAACAACACAGCCTTATATCACCATAACAACACAGCCTTATATCACCATAACAACACAGCCTTATATCACCATAACAACACGGCCTTATATCGCCATAACAACCTGGCCTTATCACCATAACAACCACAGCCTTATATCACCATAACAACACAGCCTTATATCACCATAACAACACAGCCTTATATCACCATAACAACACAGCCTTATATCACCATAACAACACAGCCTTATATCACCATAACAACACAGCCTTATATCACCATAACAACACAGCCTTATATCACCATAACAACACAGCCTTATATCACCATAACAACACAGCCTTATATCACCATAACAACACAGCCTTATATCACCATAACAACACAGCCTTATATCACCATAACAACACAGCCTTATATCACCATAACACATCACCATAACAACATACAACACAACACATCACCATAACATACAACACAGCCCATCACCATAACAACATACAACACAACATCACCATAACAACATACAACACAACACATCACCATAACAACATACAACACAACACATCACCATAACAACATACAACACAACATCACAATAACAACATACAACACAGCCTTACATCACCATAACACATCACCATAACAACATACAACACATCACCATAACAACATACAACACAGCCTTACATCACCATAACACATCACCATAACAACATACAACACATCACCATAACAACATACAACACATCACCATAACAACATACAACACAACACATCACCATAACAACATACAACACAACACATCACCATAACAACATACAACACAACACATCACCATAACAACATACAACACAACACATCACCATAACAACGCACAACACAACACATCACCATAACAACATACAACACAACACATCACCATAACAACATACAACACAACACATCACCATAACAACATACAACACAACACATCACCATAACAACATACAACACAACACAACAATCAACATACAACACAACACGTCACCATAACAACATACAACACAACACGTCACCATAACAACATACAACACAGCCTTACATCACCATAACACCAAAAAGCAAGTAATTTTACATAATTTTCTCATTAACACACACACACACACACACACACACACACACACACACACAAGCACACAAACATACTCACCTAAAAAGAATTAACTCAACATATCCCAGTTACAACATATCACAACAACAACTTACAACCCCAAGAATATACTCACGTAAGCAACACACAACCACAACAACCTCACTTATGGACGGTAATTCCTTTAGTAATTATAATATGTAGTATAATTATAACA